TGCTGTGGCTTAGTTGCTGTTTTATGCAGAATGTACAGGAGCTCAGAACCAGTGTTTTTTACACAGAAAAAAGAGGTCAAATATTTTAAATATGTTTGTTTACTTTATCTTGCATCAGAAGAAGAATTATGACCGAGTCATGAAAGCACTGGATAGTATTACTTCTATTAGAGAAATGACGCAGGTAAATACAAGTCTTTCAATATCTTGATTATAATTTATAGCAGAGCGTAGATATTTTATTAGTTGGTATTTGGGGGTGGGAAGAAGGTACTGCTCCTTTATTTTTGCTATGCAACAGCAAGAACATGCGGTAGCCAAAAAACAGAACTGATGAAATACAGTTCAGGTTTTTGAGGCTTAAATAAGAAATAATACCAGTGGAAAAGAACATTGTAACAGAATAATAGCCAACTGCTGCTTCATGCATTTCTGGAAATATCAAAGCCAAGCCAAGTCTTTTATTTTCAAAGCAAAAGAAATTGATTTTGTGACAATGTGCTAGGACAATGGCTTTATTTCTATTATAACTAGAACCTTATTCATTTAAGAACAGTTGGCGGGTATTGAGAGTTAGGGCTCTTGGGATTTATGCTATGGGTCGTCTGAATACTCACTGTAGGACAGATTCTGATATCCTTACTATTGTTGAATAGCACTATACTTCACAAGTAGTCTCACTAACGTTAACTGATAAGTACTCATGAAGTAAAATGCTATTCAGTGGTATAAGAATAGGCATCTTACTGCTTTACTTTGCCAGGCTGGTAAATAGGTGAAACTTCACCAGAGTTTTGTAAAGTTAATCCATGTTTGGAAAGTGCTTTTAGCTTCTAGAAGTGCAAATCATTATTATCATATTAGTATTAAATAAATACACACACACACACACACAAATAATATATATGTGTGAGTATGTATGTATATATGTTACATATGGGGCATCTACATGAGACACTTACTGTAATTACCTAATTAGCTCTGCAGTAAAGCATCACCATCGACATGTGAAAAGCTATTATTAGGCTGGAGTAAGCTAATTATTACCTCCACTGTAAGTTAGTACTGCCTAACATAAGTACAGCAAAAGCTTTGTTATCCGGCACCCATGGGGAATGGGGTGGAGTGCCAGATAACAAAATATGCTAGTTAATTGAGAGGCCCAAACAAGTATCTTTGTCTGTTCAGGCCGCCACTTCTCCCGCCGCATCTGAGACATCTCTGCCCCTCCCATGGGCCCTGAGGGACAGGGAGGCGGGCGCTGTGCAGCCTGCTATGCCCTGGGCTGTGGGGGCTCAGCAGTGCAGGCTGCTTTGCCCCAGGCCGTGGGTGCTCGGCAAAACCAGAAGTGCCACGGTGGGCACTTCTGGTTTTGCTTTTACCTTAGAAGCTAGCATGCCAGTTAATAGAGCATGCTGGCTTGTAAAGTGTCAGTTAAGGCAGCTTTTACTGTACTATGCTACAGCAGAGTTATTAACTCTACCGCAGTGCATGTGTAGATGGTGACTGGTGCTGGCTGGGGTACACGGGTGCTACAGTGTGGGGGGATGCCTGCCACCTAGCCTCCCCCCTACAATTGCACCCTCATGCCCCAGCCAGCTCCTCCACAGTATGTTGAGCTGGGGCAGAGCAGCTCCAGGCTGGGAGGCTGACCCCGGGCACTGCCAGCTGGGGCTGCACTGCCCTGGCTCAACATGCTGCAGTCCCAGGTACACATGTAGTAATCTAGACTGAATGTTTTAAAAAATACTCTGAAACTTTGGACAGTTTAACATTAGGATGAAGTGTAATTAGTGCTGGCCTAAGTAGTTTTTAAAGTCCACTTTAAGGGCTGCTGTATTATCCTAAGGAAATCAGTGAGAGCTTTTAGTGGGAACATGATCTGGTCCAGTAGGAATTTTACCTATCTAATACCATGAAGCAATTAAATTAACTTTGGGTAAATTACCCTAGAAGACTGTTTTCTGGAGTTCCAATCAATTTCCTTGCGTAGGTGCCAAACATCACTAAATGTTCTTTACTGTTCTTGCTGTAATCAGCAATGTTAGCTATAATATACTCATTTTGATGCTAATTATATGCTTATAATTTTGCTACAGAGAAAATAATTGCTATATTAATTCTTGTTGTTGTCAAAACACATTTAAAACTGTACAAGGCTAGGTATCAGCAAAGCTGGGGCGTAGGTTTAATGAAGAATCCAATGTATTAATTTTTTTTTCATCTGAAGTGGTGTATTGTAATATTTAAAATATAAACTTTGGATTTTAACCAATAATAAATAGCACAATTACTGTTTTCTAGGCACCTTACTTGGAAATAAAGAAGCAGATGGATAAACAGGACCCACTTGCTCATCCTCTTCTGCAGTGGTATAGACCTGTCTGCTGTTGGTTGATAATCACTTGAGAATCAAGTTAAAAGAATAATCATATTATTCCCACTAACTTGAGCCGATTTCAAAGCAAGCCTTTTAATCAAGTCTCTGTGGGCTCTGAATCAAGGAGAATTTATGTGGTTCATAAACCCTGAAGCTGGCCTTCCCCAGTGATCATTAGTCAACACACCTAAGAGAAAAATTCCTTATTTATCACAGGGTTTCCAACTGACAGTCCACGGACCTCATGAGACCTGCTAGGAGCTAACATGTGGCCCACAGGCTCCTGCTTAGCTCCCAGTCCCCTCAGTGCTTCTGATGCAGCAGCATCCAAGTTCTCCAAGCTCTTTCCCCCTCCCCCTGGCTTCTCTCCCTGACCCCACTCTTTGGTGGGGGGAAGGGGCATATCAGCGGGATGGGGCCAGGGTGCCCATGCTGTGTGCAGCAACAGAGAAAGGAGCAGCCTGCACACCATGTGCAGCAGGGAAGGTGGTGTGTCTGTGCTGTTTGCACAGCAGGGACGGAGTTGGCAACAGAGGGAGGAGCTGCCAGCATGGCACACCCAGCTGGCAGCATGGTGAGGCCACATGCATCGTGAGGGGGAGGGAAGAGGAGGTGCTGTCTGTGCTACACAAGCAGTCAGGAATGGGGCAGGAGGGAGGGCCAACTGTACATCAGAGGCTCTTGAGCCAGCCATTGGCCCCCTGGTCTGTGGTCTATGTAGCATGTGGCCCCCAACCACCCAGAAATTGGACAGCCCTGGTTTATCATATCTTATACATGTACTTTTTTAATTTCAGGGTTATTTCTAGTAATAGGTCACATATTGTGAAACTTCCTGTGAACAGGGTAAGTTTTAGGTTTTTATCTGTTTCTGTATCCTCATGGGAGGTTTCTAAAATTGCTCAACTTTGAATAATTCTATTCCCATTTAAGCCAATGGGACTTTTACTAGAGACTTTAGGGAGAGCAAATTTAGGCCAGTGCTAAATGGTCCATGGTATTTGTGTGTGTCTTGTTTAGACAAGCACCACAACCTTTTCTATACCTGGTATAATTTCTTAAGTATTCATCTTACTGTTGAAATTTATCTCGTTAAAATTTTATACTATAATAGCTCCTTTCATTAACATTTTTTTAGGGTGTGTATCACAGATGTAGGACTGTGTGAAACATAGCCAGTATATTGTAAAAAAAATGGTAGAGCCACTAAAATGGCTTGTATCAGGGATGTCCAACTCACCCTGGGCTAGGTCTGACCCACAGAGGTTCCTCCGGAGTCAGATCCGTGAGGTTAGCACCAACTGCGGTGGGTCTGCATTCTGGGAGCAGTATGGGCTCAAGGTCATGTAGGCAGCAGCACTGGGCTGGACAACAGCATGGATTGGGTCCACATTGCAGTGGCAGCACAGGTCCATGTTCAAGTAGCAGTGAAGATCTGGGGCCCTGCCACCAATGGCCATGTCATTGGTCTGACCATTTAGTATGGACTGTAAGGGTTTTTGCTTTTCTCTGTAGCAAGGCTGGGGGGAGGGCAGGGCAGGGCACTGCCCTCTACCTAGGTTCTCTTAAGCATATATTAACAAGTTTTTATAGAAGCAGAACATTGGCTCCATGGTTTCCCTTCTTTACCTGTGGCAGGTTATGTCTGTGTTGTGTCAGAGTTGACAGGACTTTTACGAAGAGTTTAGATTATGGATTGCTTACAATGGTTTGGATAGGGATGATCCTGCCTTGGGCAGGGGACTTCTGGAGGTCCCTTTTAGTCTTACTTCTCTATGGCTGTGCATAGATGAAACGAGTATAGTTGATTCTGTGTCCATCAGGATCCAGAGACCCCAAATTCTGGAGCAGGCCATACCTCCCAGCTTCCAGTAGCCTGCTAGACTACCGGCAGGCTATATGGAATGGTTCTGCCAGCCATATGTTTGTTCTTTCTTGAAAAAGTATGTCTGTGCCTGGGTTTTTATTCCAAGTAAATCAGTAGCTGTCAAGCCTGAGTCTTAATTGAAAGCCATCTCAGCTCAGTTTAATTATTCTAGTAGTGTCATATTGGGTTGGAGATTATATCACAAACTTACATATGCTTCTTAAACTAAGAATTTTTAGAGCTTGATTTGAAATAAAAGTTGTGGTAATAAGACTGCTCTTGAGTTACTGAATTGAACTGCAACAATATATATTATGTGAACTAGCACAGTATCTTAGGAAGATTTCTTTCTGGAAGTACAATACCTGTTGTATCTCTTCACATCCTCTGTGTGCTGTTGTATTTTACAGCAACTGAAATTTATGCACACTCCCCATCAGTTCCTCCTTCTCAGTAGTCCACCAGCCAAAGAATCCAATTTCAGAGCTGCTAAAAATCTGTATGGAAGTACTTTTGCATTTCAGTAAGTATGAAAAAAACAAACAAAATAATGATAATATTTAGTTTTTATCTGCAAATAAAATACATTGTACTACAACAATTGTTTATTTAATTCAGGATACTTAAAACTATTACTTCTCATACTTTCCATTTTATTTTTAAGTGGTTCACACATTGAAAATTGGCACTCCATCCTGAGGAATGGCTTAGTTGTTGCTTCCAATACAAGACTGCAGGTAAATAGCAGATGGAAGCATTCTTATTTAACTTGAGTATGTCATGTTGCATATTGAATGCAGGGCAAATGTGCAAGTGAGCATTTTAGACAGCAGTGGAGTTGTGATGGAGACCTACATGGAGCAATTAGCTCCTTCCTTCCTCCATCCCTGATACAAAGGTTCTACTGGTCGTTTAGAGACCATTAATGTGAAAACATGGCAACATTGAACTTGGCATCTAACCTGCCATTGACTTCACATTAGCCATGATTTCACCCTTACGTTGTACACAGAAGAACCCATAGTGATGAAGAAGTGCCAGACACAGGGCTGCCCTTTCCCTCAAGAGGTGTTGTTCAGTAGGGCTGTGCAAAGCTTCAATCGCTGATTCGATTTGGCTCGATTCGGCAGCCAAATCTCCAAATCCAAATGGAATCAGGAGACCCTTTCATCTCTCCAAATCAAATTGGAACCCTCTGAATCGATTCTGAGAGATTTGGAAAGATTTGATGATTTGGACATAGACACAGCTTTATATGTTTTTTCTACATACCTCAAGGTGCCAGGTGGCTCGTGTATGCTGAGATGCTGGGGCAGATGGAGGGTCCACAGGAACATGGGGGGTCCCCAGCATGCTTGACAGTGAACCTGGAAGTGGACCAGAAGTACTTCCAGTCCACCCAGGGGGCACCCAGGGTCTCCCCTCCCCGTGGCTGATTCCTGAGCTAGGAGGGCATGGGGGGCCCCCTGCATGCTCAGCAGCAGACCCAGAAGTGGACCAGAAGTACTTCTGGATCACTTCTCGGTTTGCCACCAAGCAAATGGGGGGTCCCCCGTGCTCTTGTGGAATGCTCCATCTGCCCCACCATTACAGCTTTCATGAGCCTCACCTGGTACTTCAAGATATGTAGAAAAAATATTTAAAGCTTTGTCTGTGGCTGAATCACTGATTCTCCAAATCAGCATCAAATCTTCAGATTTGGATTTGGCTGAATCAAATAAGAACCATGATCTGAATCAACAAATCAAATCACTGTCCCCAATTCAGGCTGAATCTGAATTGAATACAGCCTGTTTCGCACACCGCTATTGTTCAGTAATGTTCAACGAGCATTACTGAAGGCCCAGATCCACACTGGACTTAAGTGCCACAATGCAGTACAGAGACATCCTTACTGAAGTTCTCTGTAGCAGAATCCATGTCCCTGAGTTAGATGCCTGAGGGTGCTAAATCTAACAGGGGATCTAATTTTATGAATAACTTTTTGATGTTATTGAATGAATCCAAAACTCTTTAGGTTTGTAGGCTTTTTACACAGTATCTGGGAAGAGTCAGGCTCATATAGTGGGATCAGATGGTATTGGATAATTGTCCTTGCAGTTTTCTTTTATAAAACTTAAAAAAAATAACAGTAAACAATTCTTGCCTTCTTTTTCAGCTCCATGGTGCAATGTTTGGAATCGGGATCTACCTTAGTCCATTGTCAAGCATATCATTTGGTTACTCAGGTGATATTTATAAATCACTCTAGAGCTGGAGAGATTCAGGGGGATACTTTAATTTGCTGCTGCTTCTACCTGCTTCATTTTTTAATCATTGTAATAACTTTGTCCCCTAAGCTGCATAGGTCAAGATTTTTAAAAAATGGTGCTTAAAAATAGACTCCTAAATTGCCCTTTGTGATCTTAAAAAATATATCCTTATTTTAAAACATGTCAAATGGTCAGAAAATTTCACAGAAATCAATGGTAGTAGCTGGGTGTTCGAAATTTTAAAAGTACATAGACTTGGAAGCCCAATTTGACATTCCTGTTTTTTAGAAGTGTGTAAATATATGATAAAAGTACACTGCTTGCATTTGTACACTGCTATGTATAGGCATACAGAACCTGATCTCACAAAGCACTTTAAGTGTGTGTTTCCATTTCATTCATGAGGTCAATACAACGCTTACATTTAAGTATATTGTAAAGTTCCCTGCTGCATCAGGCTCATATAGGGAATATAAGACAGACGCTACATTGTAGATGATATGAATTCCATAAGGTTGCAAAAATGGCATGACTTCCAAGTGGCAAATCCACAAATGAGTTAAGCAGTTCACTCCAAAGCCTTTTTACCAGGCCCCACATCAAAGTGTATATTAAGAAACTTTTGTACAGATTTTTAAAATATTTTAAAAATATGAAGCTGAATTCCTAATATTTGCACATGCTCATAATAGTTGGAACAACTTTGTATTTGTATGTATAAATAGTTTTAAATTACTGTTAATTATAACTATAATATTAGTGCACTAGGATTAAATTAATATCATTGTGTAAAATATGGAGGCGCTAGATCATTTTTAGGAATGAAAAATTAAATTTTTCAAAGTCATTTATATTGTTTTGTATTTATAAGGACACCAAACTCTCACTTATCCTGAGATAGATCTCACAGTAAAAATTGGACACCTTTTGGACACTCTGGTTCAGTTGTGTAAGCAATGTAAATGTTAATGTGTGGGTTTTTTGTGCATTATATCACAACATCTTGTTTTAGTTGCCTCTTATTCCCTAAAACCTGAAGGGATAATACAAAAGGCACACAAAGTGGCCATGTTTACCCAAATATCTTCCATTTTGAAAGATTCTAAGTTAAGAAAATTAAAATTATTGTTAGAATGTCATACGGATTTCAAAACTAGGGATGCACTGATAGAGATATTTTGGGCCAATACAGATGGCTGATTTTTAAGGAGCCATATTGGCCGATACTGATCTGATTCAGCTATGCAGCCAGGCAGCTCAGAAACCAGCGTTGGGCTGGTAAGTCCGGTGTGGAAAAAGGTGGGGGGAGGGAAGGGGTTTGTGGTGGGAGGCAGATCAAGGCACCCATGGTGAAGGAGGAAGTGGGGCGGGGCAGCCACTGCTCAGCCAGGGCAGGGCAGGATGCGAGACAGAGCCATGAGCAGCTCATCCAGGAGGCACGTGGGGAAGGTGGGGGTTGGCTCCTGCCCTGTATGCACTCTGGGAGGGCATGGGGGGGGCACATGCCACCAGATCTATATGGGGTGGTTTGGGATGCCGCTATGGGCTGGGGTCAGGGCTGGACTGGGTTGTGCTGCACTTGGGGCAGGTGGCGCTGGTGCTGGGAGCAGGGCTATGGGAAGGGGGGGGCTGCAGCCACCTGAAAATTCACCATAGCCTGCCACCCCCCCGCTTCCAGTGCCGCTGCCACCACCCACCCCAAGTGCAGTGCAACCCATCCCAGCCCCCACCAGGAAGAGCCTGGCACAGTCCCCAGCCCACCCCACCCCAACC